TACAAAGGAGAAAATTAAAGCACAGAGATTAAGAAACTGTTTAAGGTCACAACACAAATGGTAGAGTTGGAATTCAAACCCTGGCTGAGTTTCTACTATTATGCATGTTTGACATTACCGAAGTCTTCTGTAGGAACCCAGTGACCTACCAGAAAGTGCATTCTCAGGCCTTCCCGCAGTGTAGCCTTAGCTACAGTCCGGTGCTCTCATCTGGTGATGCTGCTCTAATTAAGCGACCTTCTTGTTCTCCAAATTCCAAGTAAACACATTTGCAGAAATATCACATTAACTTCCAAGTTTTAATAGGATTTGGCAACGCTGTTGTATTATCTCAAAGAGAAGTGGGAGGTTTGCCTCCCCATGTCATTATTTCCTATGGGAACATGACCCTGAGCAAGAGCAGTGCCTAGTAAGACACCACTGCCTGAACAAATACAGCTGAGGGGCAGCTGGGGGCCTCCACTTGGAGGTCCATGAACCCCGATGCTGAAAATCGTAGCTAACGCAACTTGGACAAACACCGAGCACACTATGTTAAACAGCCATGCTCAAAAACAAAGCTGTGCTCTCTTCCCCACAAACTCGTTCCCAGCTGCTTGAATCTCTCCCTGATCATTGATAGTATAGTGTAAACTACATGACTTTGAACTCAATCATGTACCATGTGTGTTGGTTACAGTTTCAAAGGCCTTGTCTAAAAATCAAGTCTGTAAACTGCAACCAGGGACTGTAGCTTATTCTTCTGTGCTCATTTTCTAGGACTATTTTTTAAAATATATTTTTATTGATTTCAGAGAGAGAGGGAGAGAGATAGAAACATCAATGATGAGAGAGTATCATTGACTGGCTGCCTCCTGCACATCCCCCACTGGGGATTGAGCCTGCAACCCATTGCATATGCCCTTGATAGGAATTGAACCCAGAACCCTGAGTCTGCAGGCTGACATTCTATCCACTGAGCCAAACCAGCTAGGGCTCTAGGACTATTTTAAGCTCATAATAGATGTTCAATAAATCTGTAATAGACCAAAAAATTTAACTAGGATGTTTATTAGACACAGCCTCACTCAGTAAAAACTGGATTTTACTGACAATTCATATACATAACATATGTATTCCTTTTGTCTTATTTTTAAAAAGCCTTTAACATCTCCTTTTATTGATATGAGACCCATAAAGGAAGGTGAAAATAAACACAAAACTTTCATTCAAGCTACATGGTTTGGGGGGTTGGGGGGCGGTTAAGGGAAAGTCAGCTTGTGGGAAAAGCTTTAATAGTCACAGGAGGAGTAAGGCCATGATAGCTTTATATGCTTCATTTGGCTTTAATAAACTCAGCTACATCCCACACCAACTCTGACATCTTAGCTGGGAAAGAGTATGCCCTATGTCAGATGATAATGCTAAGTAAATATGGACTTTTGTTAAGGTGTCATTGGCATTCATTCAACAGTGCGTAGTACATTTTGGGTATTGGCACAATGTATATTGCCCTAGAGCAGTGGTCGGCAAACTGCGGCCCCTTGAGTGTGGCTCTTCCACAAAATACCACGTGCGGGTGCGCACGTACAGTGTGATTGAAACTTCATGGCCACACTCAAGGGGCCAAAGAGCCGCATGTGGCTCACGAGCTGCAGTTTGCTGACCACTGCCCTAGAGAAGCTCTAGAGACAGACCCTATGATTAAGGTAAAATCCTACAAGGAAGGAAAGCTATACATGTATGAACCAATTTTGTGTATAATATGATAATACAGAGTTAATTGTTTAAGACAGATCTCAAGGGCATAAACCACTATGGTCATGGTGAATGTTGGGACCCATCTAAATGGTTTCGCACCATGACCCAGGTTTCTATTAAACTTTCTTTTGAATTTATAGTCACTTGAATTTAGTCTTCTTCCTTACTTAGATCCCAGGATCTGGAAAGTTCGGCCTCATCTGTAGACACCTCTGGGAAGATAAAAGGACCCAGACTTTGAAGTCAGACAAACTTGGTTTGAATCTTGGCTCTCACATGTATTAATTGTGACTCTGGGCAAGTTTACTTAATCCCTTGAGTCTGGGTTCCCTCCTCTGCAAAACTGAGAATACAAATGCTACAGTGTGGCTTTGAGGATAACACTTAATGTATGCAAAGTGCATAGAACAGTGCATAGTCAATCCTCAAATTGTCATTATTTAACATATTGCAAAAGGCTAAAGTGGAGAGATGCTGCTTACGTGAAGCCACGTAGAAATGTACGGGGTGGGGGCAGGGCAGAATAAAGATTATTCTCATTTTTTCATCTCCCTATCTTTTTAGGTAGGAGATCAGATTTATTGCATCTACCATACTCATTTTAGTATTAAACCCATCTCCATATCAATAATAATAATTTCTTAAGTCATTTTCAACAAGTTCAAGAAGTTCTTTCTCTGTGCTAAAGTTGTTCACCAAAAGGCAGCTAGTAAAGAGTGGGCCTATGTAATCAGATAGCGTTCCCAGAGCAGTAGCGTTGCTGCGGTACTTACAGCTTAATTGGGGGTCGCCTAAGAGCTGAAGAGTTGGTTTCCTGGAAGGCTGGTTCTCGGTCTGGTTTAAGGTAAATGTGGTCCATCTGCAGAGCCCCTGCCCCCGCCCCCACCTCGCACTCCTCCTCGAGGACCAAGCTAAATGGGTTCGCACCATGACCCCGGTTGAGGATCCTGCCTTCTACAGCTGAAGTTTTCCCAGCTTTAATCGCATCTCATTAACCTGCAGGTTCTGGTTCCAGAGGTCCCGGACTCTAACAGGCTTCCAGATGATGCCCACGTGGCTGGTTTCCAGACCACAGTCGAATTAGCAAGAGCCAGGACAACCACAATTCACAAACCAAGGCATCCATAGTATTCCTCCATTCTCAGGGTTCAAAAACCAAATGGGGGCAGCAACTGCCAAGACACTATCTTTACAAAATTACTAACTTTTGGTGGGATGTACTGATTGGACGGCCTGAGACAGCTTCTAAACCACCGGAACTGCCCTATATTGTCCCCGAGTGGAGGTTGCATGGGTGTACACATGGAACTGCAGAGTTTAGATTTGTGTGCTCAATGTCACTTATATCTCAATTGGGGGGGGGATCTAAAATAGAAAATAAAGGAATGAGAATACAAAGGAAAAAAGCACTAAATTATGGAAATAGTGTTAAAGCAATGGAGTACACCTAGAACTCTCCACTCCCATAAAGTAACTTAAACCCAAATAACTGAATATTCACGGGGCATTTTCTCCAGCTGGAAACATCCTCTCCCATTCCTCTTAGTGGGAACACATCGAGACACTGCTAGTGTTTCTTGCCGAGAGTCTAGGTGTGAAAGAAACCCTGCTGTTTCAAACATCTGAAGGGAAAAAAAATGACAGTAACAGTCCTAAGAAATGGACTTGTCCTAACCTTAGGACACTCATCAGGCACCCGTGGCTCCTGCAAATTGGACATGCATTCTGTAACTCGCTGATTTATGCGCAGGCGGACCTTCAGGCTCTGAACAAATGAGCAAACCACCTCAGGGACACTTTCCATGTTACATTAGAGGCTTTCTACTGTGGTGATAGGAAAACAATGCGTCCGAAGAAATATTGTGGTCATGTGGATGAAACACAGGGCTAGAACCAGGCAAGCAATTCTGGTGCCAGTACCACCAAGTCATTTCACCAGTTGGGTGACCTTGCTTACCCAGTTAACCTCTTCCAATCTTTACCTGCCAACTAAACACACTTCCTCCTCCTGCTCTAACCCTCACGTATTTGGTTCAGTGGTCACACACACACACTCACACACTATGTCTGGAGAAGGCAGCCCTTCCCAAGGAGTGACTATTGATTCGCCTAAAAGCCCGTCATCATTCCACTGCCAAGGACAGATTTTAAAGCATGACACCTGGCGTAACTGATGCGCTTTTGTACCACTAAACTGACCAGCCCTGAAACCACTCACACCAGAACCTCTGAGCCCATGAAATAACATGTTCCTGCAAGCTGAAAACAATCATGGTTGATTCATCCGCTATGACATTATAAATAGTAAAATTTCCTTTTCTTTCAAGTTCATCTCTGGGGGTTGCAGTGTTACCTAGCACTGCCCAATATTTATCCTGGCACCCCAAACAGTGTACGGTTCCCAAAGACGGAGATGAGTCCGGTGTGTATGGGGATCACAGTATCTCCCACAGCACCTTTAGAAAGCAGGCAACTAAGACACGCTTATGGGTGCACGCCTCCTCCGTCCAGTGAGAGCACTGGAATGAATAGAAGCCAAGAACACATGATGAAAACCACATCAACCCTCACCTCCAAAAAGCTGCAAGCAGAGAACAGTGCCTCCCCTTCCTTTTGTTGAGAAAAATACAACTGGGGAGCATTTTCCAAACTATAGATTCCCTAGCTCCATCCAGGCTTAGCTTTAACAAGCACACAGGTGCTCTGTGGGCCATGTTTTAGGAAAAAGACTGTTCCTCTTGATTGCTCAACAATCTTGACATTTTGTTTTTGTTTTTGTTTTCAATCAACACAACCATCTCCCCACCCCTTTGCCCACAGAGGCCCTGACAGTGTTATACACTCTGTCCTGGCAGAAGGTCACAGGACAGCCCAAGGCCAAGTATTTACTTGTTGATGTTGTGTTTTCAAAACAAGATACAAAAGCAGCCATTCGTCTTTGCCTCGCTGTTTACAACCACAATCCGATCCACTTTCCTTATAAACTTTCTACCTCTTCCCCTCCAACCTCCGCCAGGCAAAAGTTCCCGAGACCAGCAAACAGCCTCTGGCCCTTAGGGCACAGACTCGGTGCAGACTCTCCGGTGCCTGTTGCTGCCCTGGCCCAGAAAACACAGAGAAAGGTGCGCACCACGGAGAAGTCACCCAGCGCATGCCAGCACCCCGTGCCCGAAAGCACCTCCATCCCCCTCCTTTGCGGCGCCGCCTTCCCACCAGCCAGGGTGCCCAGCGGCGGCGACACGACACAGCCTGAGGCTTACCTGAAACACGTGGTGAGCTCGCCCGAGGCCTTCAGACACGGGTATTTGGTCGTGGCGATTTTGTTTTCTGAGCAGACTTCTCTACGAAAAAGTTAGAGAGGCAAAGTCGTTGACTCCCCACGTGAGAGCGCAGGCCAGTGCGCGCCGGGGGATCCGCTGAGCGGCCACTGGTCCCCGAGCGAGGACGCCCAGCGGCCTCCGGAGAGGGTCACACCGAGCGAACCCAGTCCCAGGGGCACTGGAGCTGAAGAAGCGGATCGCAGGAGAGCGGCAGGAGTGGGGGGCAGAGGTATCACAGATGGGGGAAGCCCAGGCTGATGGCGCGGAGACTGTCACCCCCCGGGCAGAGTTGAGTGTCACCCGGGACAGTTGAGCGCCCAGCCCGTGACAGGGGCCGGCAGCGCTTACCTGTCGCTGTTCTCAGGCTCCTCGCGGTAGCTCCACGTGTGTCCCAGCGCCAGGAGCAGCAGCAGCGGACCCAGGCTCTTGCCCAGCTGCCCCGTCGCCGCTCCTCCCCGGCTCGGAGGCGGCGGCACCATCGGGGACGCTCCCGGCTTCTTCCAGGCGCCCGAGCCCTCCGCCCGCCCTGCGCCCGGCTCCTCCGCGCCCGCCGCCGCCGCCGTCTCTCTCCCCGGCAGGGGGCGCCGGAGGGCAGGGGCGTTTGCGCCACCTGCGAAGGCACAGGGGCTGGGCTGCTGTGGCGCTGGGGGACCAGGCTAGGAGTTGGGGTGCAGAGTGCAAATTCCGTAGACCGGCTGGTGAACGACCTGGAGGGTAGGGGGTCCACGTCGTCTCGGCCGGGATGGTCACGCTGTCACCAGACTCGCTGGACTCAGCCTTGCGCTGCGCGCTCCCTCCTGCCTCCGTCCTGGGCTGAGCGGAGGGCAGGGTGCGGAAAGCGGGCGGCTGCTCGCATCTTACACCAGGGTCGCCCGACCAAGAGGAGGAGGAGCCGCTTCTCCCCCAGGGAGAAGGGGGGCCGAGGGGTTAACACGCTTCCTTCCTGTCGTCAGTTGGCTTCTAATGACCAGGACCAGGACGTTGGCTTTCCCTCCTGGAGCGCCTGCCCTGGGCTTTCCCGCCGCCTTCTCCCTGAACGGAGGAAGGAGGTGGTGGGGAGACTAAGACTGCTTTTCCAAACTGCCTCTCACGCCCGATCGCTAGTCTGCCCCCGTTAGAATCCCAGGAGAAAGTTCCCCGCTCGCTTCGCTTCATTCGTTAGCATGGCTGCTGGGTTCAGTAATGAGCTCTCAGCGGCTCTTTCCAGGGGTTTTAAATCCTCTTACCCTGAGCCGCTTGAATGCTGTTTATATGTCACACGTGAGAGCTGGAAACTCCTGGAAGATCAGGTGAGAGGCTGAAGGTCCACCCCCAACCCCATCCAGTTAACACAGCGCTGTATGGGTAGCCTGAAAACCAGGCTGGGGGCGTCCATCAGCGCATGTGGTGGGGGCTCGGCTGTAATTCGTATATGTCTGCATCTTAACACTTTATTGCACGTTAGGAGTTCTCTTCTGATAACGAGAAGCTCGCGATATAAACGTGCCCCGAAGTGCCAAGCAAGTGGTCTGGCCCAGAGAACGTAGGAAGAGCGCCAGGTTGTAATGTCTAACTCCAGCCCCAGAACCATGAGGTGGGAGGTAGCTTGTCACAAGTTATGGGGGTGCTAACTGGTTAGGTAGGCAGGTGTTTTGATTCAAAATAGTCTGATCAACTGAGAATTACCGTGCCTGTCACATACACCTCGACATTTTTAACAGCAATGACATCCTCATTCCTCTGTAGAATGCTTGTATATTTTCCAAAGGATTTTCCACATTTATGATTTTATTTGACACTCACAATAGTCCTTGAAGCTACGAGTCTGACTTGTTGGTTCAGTGAGGTGTTTTTCACCCCCTGCAAATCTTACCTAGACATGGAAGACCATAAACCACACAAATATTTAAATACAGCACTACACAAAATAAGTGTATTTTCACGTAGTGATTCAGAGGAGACTTCAGATGTTTGCAAAACCTGAGAGTGGCTGTTACGTAGTCAGGAAAAAAACAACAACACACCTTAGATTCAAACCCAGGCTGTGAGCTTCCTAGGTGTGTGGACTTGGGCACGTTACCTTTAACTTTTCTGAAACTCAGTTTTCTCATTTGTAAAATGGGGAAACCTCCCTCATAAATATCTGTGAGTATTAAATGAGGTCATGCCTATAAAGCATTTTTTTATAGTGCCAGGGATATATTGAGTGCTCAGTAGACATTAACTATTGTTATTTTCTTTTACATAAATCATTGCACAGAAATTTCAGTTTTAACTTTTAAGCTTTCCCTTTCTGGCTATATAAGAGTTTATTTCACAACTGTTGTTTGGGTTCCTAAAGAGACAAGCATATGAAAAATAAACCCATCCTAGAATTTATAAAGACTGTATCACTTCCAGATTGACCCACAAAAGTGTTTAATCTTCATCTTGCAGGGAAGAGGCCATTCTCTAGCAGGTCCTGTTTTTATTTGCTTACCAATTACTCTATTATAATATCTTGCTATCTTTTCCCCCATCTTTACTCCTTTTGTTTTTCTACTACTGCATTGTGGATGCTAATTCTGCAGATAATAGAGACCAGTGTAGGAGATTAGCTATCAGCTTCATTAAATAGTTAGTAAGCCACCTATGGGGACACACTGCCTTGCAGAGAAAGTAACTCAGGCTGCAGATGATAAAAGCAAAACTGTCCATATGCACAGCTGTGTGGCAGAAGATTGGGGCCGAGCCAACTTTGCTGCCTCCTTATTTTCAGCCCCTTACACTGAGCATAGATAAGAATGAGGTGTCAGAGAAGGTGCCCCGGCCAAGCTAACAGCCCGGGTTTGCCAGGGGAGGCAATCCCAAGGGTGGTCGGAGCATTTATGAAGGAGGGGCGCTGCAGCAGGGACCTCTTGAAAACCTTTGCCTGGAGGCCTGGAACTTAAACGAATTGGCAGCTACTGACAGTGTGACATTCAGCATGGGGCTTGAGGGGCCGGCTAGAGAGCAGAGCCAAGCAGAAGGAGATGTGACTGGCCATGTATGGATAACAGTCCCCTGAGGAGGTAAACACTCCTGTAAAAGACAAATCCTGCATCTGCTCAGGCTGCAGCCTGCATGGGACATGTCAGAATGAGGCTGAGTGTAATAGGGACCTCCAGAGTCTTAGGTTTGCTCTCCTGACACCCTGACTCTCTCCCTCCCCATTTCCTTGTTACAGAACAGAAAGTTCATCCTCCTGGCACCAGCAGAGCCCAAAACTCGACACCTGAGAACTGCAGTGGAGAAATATTGGCTGTTTTGTAATGAATGGTGCCATCCAGGAGAACGGGAAGCTAATGCTCGAAGCCCGAACTCCCTGATGGCATGTGGGCTACAGGGCAAAGTCGCAGGGGTTTGGGTCTTGCTGGGAGCTGATTGGTCGGAGGTGAGGTAAGGGTGGTGAATTATTTCTTGAGGTCTTGAGAATAGCTCTGAGGTCCTTTCCAGCGTCCCTCTGTCTGGTTTCTTGGACAAGTAGCCAGGGGGTTGTTTCATCTTAGGGCTCAGGAGCTGAAACACAATTTACGTCAAGAAGTTTATCTTTAGCTGCCAGGGGTCTGGGACTGTGACCATTAGGCAGGTCTGGGCAACCTTCCTCTGCTGCCTTAGGGGGTGTTGATTATCAGGGGGAAAGACTGGGTCTCTGAGGGATATAGACAGAGAGACAGAGAGGATTTCTAGAGCTAGGATTTAAAACAAAATGTAATCAAAGTCATGAGGACCCTTGATGTCCCCCTCCTCTCTGAAACACCGGATGAGCGGACTCGCCTCCTGCCTCTCCCATCAGAGTGTTACAAAGATTAATGATGTGGACCTCAGTGCTCCCCAGGGGAGGCTCTGTGTGATTATTTCTTTTCAGCATACCACTCTGCGAGGTTTTCCACACAGACCTGTCAGCTCCCCTGAAACAAACCAGAGAGTGGATAGTTATACAATTTACCATGTCCAGGGCTTTCGGGCATGGACCGTGCCATGTGCTGGGCTCCCTGGTGGCCCGGGTATTGTTAAGGACCACTGAGTGTTGTCTGGGGGCAGTGGGGTGGGGATGAGGAGATGGGCTGCGGAATACAGAGGCCAGCATACAAAGCCAACGTGAAAGGAAAAAAGAAAAGAAAAGCTAGGGCCATCGAGCGGAGAGTGTCCTTCTAAATAAAACCAGTGGCCTCTTCCACTCATTTTTTTTAACTTTTATTTATTTTTCAATTGAGGCCAAATTGACATATGACATATTAGTTTCAGGTGTACAGCATAATGATTTGATTTCGTATATGTTGCGAAGTGATCACCACAATAAGTCCAGTTAACATCCACCATCACACAAAGTTGCAACTTTTTTCTTGTGATGACAAATTTAAAGATTTACTCTCTTAGCAATTTTCCAATAGATGATATTAACTATAGTCACGATTTGTATATTACATTCCCTTGGTTTATTTATTTTATAATTGGACATTTATATCTTTGTATCATTCATCTTCACCCATTTTGCCCACTCATTTTTAAGAGACCCCAGCATCTCATTTGGAGACAATTAACATAGTATTACAAAAGAGAGATCAATAAAAAAAAATATTACTCTAGAGCAGGGGTCCTCAAACTATGGCCCGCGGGCCACATGCAAATACAAATATTGTATTTGTTCCCATTTTGTTTCTTTACTTCAAAATAAGATATGTGCAGTGTGCATAGGAATTTGTTCATAGTTTTTTTTTAAACCATAGTCCGGCCCTCCAACGGTCTGAGGGACAGTGAACTGGCCCCCTGTTTAAAAAGTTTGAGGACCCCTGCTCTAGAGAGAAAAAAACACACCACTAATTAGGGGCACAAATCATTTTGCTATTGCTTGTTTAAAAATGTCCTAATTAAAAGGATTTCTGGTGGCTGATAAAAATACATATTATTATACAGTATGTATATTTCTGTGCATATTAGACATATTATAGCATAGAATAAGATTGAATGAAGCAATTAAGGCAAAGGGGGGAAAATCAGGACTGGATAATAAAATGAAGCTACAGGATCATATAAGCAGAAAGTCCCGTGCTGTTTAAAGTTGATCACACTCAATTCTCAGGTTCTCAGAAGTCCATTCAGGATAATTACATGATCAGTTACAAGTTTCATGGTAGCCATAAAGCAGTGGTTCTCAACCTTCTGGCCCTTTAAATACAGTTCCTCATGTTGTGACCCAACCATAAAAGTATTTTCGTTGCTACCTCATAACTGTAATGTTGCTACTGTTATGAATCGTAATGTAAATATCTGATATGCAGGATGGTCTTAGGCGACCCCCGTGAAAGGGTCGTTCGACCGCCAAAGGGGTCGCGACCCACAGGTTGAGAACCGCTGCCATAAAGGAAAAACCTATAAATTCCTCAAAAAAAAAAAATTACAGATTTTTCCTGTAGATCTCCCTGAAACGTTACAACAGCCATCTGCTGTCAGGTAAATGTCTTTCACAGAAACAAGACTCAACAAGCATGGGTTGAGTTCCTACTGAATTGTGAGTGATGTAGGTACAACATAATTTCTCGACAATAAACAGGTTGCCTTGAATCCTTTCCTTCAGTTTCAGTTTTGATTGACAGACTTAGAGAATCAGGGCTACACCTTGAAAAGTGGTAAAGTGTGCCAATTTCCAAGCCATTGTGAGGAAATGCTTGAGGCAACAACAATCCAACATGTTAATACAGTGAAAGGGCTTGAAAGCCCTGCTTTTGGGGTGTGTACATTATCTTTGCACTTACTCTACCTTAGTTTTAACTTGCAGTACATTGAAGCTATCGGTCTCTGGAATTTCCTCCCAAGACAGGAAGAAACATCTGATTCCTATGTGTATAACAAAAATCACACCATTTTTGCCAAACGTAGAAATAAAAACAATTTTAAAAGGTGAGTTAGCCTTCTGTGTACACAGGCTGCTGACAGAAAACGTGCGAACCATACCAAAAAAGAGAACCTTCTTGTTACTTGGTTGAATGTCTCCAAAAAAAAATCAAGAAAAATTATTCTTGTGACTTTAGTATCATATTCTTAAAAGTTCTGATACTGAGTCCCTGTCTCAGGTTTCTCCCGAACCAGGAGCTCCTTGAGACAATAGGCATTGGCAGTCTCCTTGACCAGTGAGAACTGTAGGACCAAACCTTGGGTTTCTCGGAGAACTGGGTTCTAACACCACTCAATTCTGTAACTCCTTCTGGGACAAGCAGAGACAGCAGGACATGTGGTTGGGATGGCACCATCTCTTGTGGTCCCCACAGCCTGAACAAGGGAGGGTAAGGGGCCAGCACGAGAGGCAGGGCTTCTGGCCCACATGACAAAGTCTCTGATAGAGAAAAGGGTGTTGGGATTCTCCCAGGATTTATGAGCTGGCTCCTTAGAGTGTGTCAACTCCAATCCCACAGCTTCTCTGCTTTCCTTGTGTAGAGCTAATTCTGTTTATATGCCTTATCTCCTTGAGGGTAAGAGTTCTTATATGACATTTAGTGAGAGCTGAAAGATACTCAGCCCTGTAATATGGTATCAAGCCAGTGTGACAGGTAATAAGAATGTTGACTTTGAAAGTTTTCTGATCTGAATCATGATATCTTTTATGGTGAATAACTATATTACCCATGCTAGCAGAGCATGGGTACTTAGTATCCTGAAAAACAACTTTTTCCTCTGGATAGGAGGTTGACTTTACCTCCCTCCTTTAAAAAATGGGTTTTGAGAAACAGCGTTAGGAAGTGGGAAGAAATTAGGTTTGAAATCCTGCTCTTCCACCTAAAACCTCGACGACCCTGAGCAAATTGCATAACCATCCTGGGACTCAGTTTATCCATAAAAAATATAGAAGCAACAATCTCCAAGTCAAGATCGTTGAAAAGAGTAAATGAGAGATATAACAGGGACGAAGTCGCATCGGAGATGATAAATGATAGCTAATATAATTTTAACTGCTTTTCTTCAGTATTGTGGATGTGATTATGTAATTATCCACCCTGTCTCATCTCATTTGCTTTGCCTAAGAGATATGTTGTGAAGTGGATGGCCAGCGTGGAGATGCCCTGTCACAGAACAGACTAAACTAAGCTGCTGGGTTGATATTAGTGTCGTTTCCACTGTGCTTTAATTAGACGTTGGGGAGTGATTAAGGCTCTGGGTAAGTGAAATCAATAACAGTGGCTGGAGATTAGAATGTATATACTTCCCCGTGGAGAATAGCTGTGCTCCTGGGTACTGTGCTGTCTGACTTTCATATATTCTAAATGAAATCATGGCTTAAATGTAAAGGAGCTGGCTAGTGAAAACCCAGCTGTGGTCAATTCTAGAGTGGAGCAAAAACTCTCTTCAAAGCTATCCATTGGTGGGATTGTGTTATTCCTGGGCAGCTTAAGCGGGTCAGGTCTGGAAAATTTGCACCAGTGTGAAGGGCCTCTGCCTGAGGAGGCCACAATCTCCCAGCAGGGCAGTTACATTTTAAGAAAACGTTTCAGTCCTGATAGGTTTGGCTCAGTGGTTAGAGCGTCAACCCACAGACTGAAGGGTCACAGGTTCAATTCCCTGTCAAGGGCACATACCTGGTGGGGGCGTGGGGCACGTGCAGGAGGAAACCAGTCAAAGTGTCTCCCTCACATCAATGTTCTCTCTCTCTTCCCCCCTCCTTCCTCCCTTTCACTCTCTCTGGAAATTAATAGAAAAAATATCCTCAGGTGAGGATTAAAAGTCAAACAAACAGAAGATATAAAGAAAACGTTCCAAGGCAATTGTGTAGCAACATCTTAGAGTTCAAGTTAAAGGTTGTTAGATTCTAATAGAACATGAGATGCATGAACTAAAATGGCACCTAGTCATGATGTAATACCAAAAGAGCCACATTCCTGCAAACTTTCAACGGATCATGATAATTTTCCAAGAATTTAACACAAAGAATATTTCTTGAGCACTTGAGACAAAGCACAAAGCATTGTCTCATTTAATCCTTATTATAGTCCTCTGTCACTATTATTATCTGCATTTTACAGATGAGGAAACTGAGGTAGAGATTGCAATTAATTCGCCTCAGATCCAGAGTTATGAGAAGCTGAGCAGGGTTTGAATTGGGGCATTTTGGACCCCCCAGGCCCATGCTCTCAACACTACACTAAGTATCTGGGCAGTTTTGTCCTAAGAGACAGACTGCATCCTGGAAATTTGTCCAGGGGTGTAACCAGGGAAGCCAAAGGACTGCCACCATAACCCATAACCCTACGGATCTATTATGGTTCATGCTCAGGTATAATCCTTCTGCTGCTGCTCTAGGCCAACCCGTTTGCCATGAATTCTCACCTTTGTGTATCAGCTGACCCCTCTCTTTACAACAGAGCTGAGCTAGATGCACCAGACTGTCCTCATGGGGCAGACAGCCTGCTGATTTATGTGGGAATATGGCAGAGCTCTCGGAGCGCAGAACTCTGGGAGCTCTGGCACGTTTGCAAACCATGCTTCCAGTTATATTTCTGGACCTCGTGCTGGTCTTTCTCAGACCTAGAACTCGCACAGAATGTAGAGATTAGGAAAGCTCTTGCGGGGTGGGGGGAAAGCATTTCTGTAGTCATTACAAAGAAATACCGAGGCAATGTGTTTTGAAAACTTCAGAGTCCAGCATAGTCCTAAGCAATGTCCTCCCAACTGGACACGGATTCCTCTCAAAGATTTGGAAAGAATAGAGGAGGGTAAGCAGTTGCATGGTCGGAAGAGTTTGGGATTTCCCCCGCCCCCCGCTCTCAGAGGCTGTGTGCTAGTCTGCAGGGGATGTTTAAGATCAGCATGGGTGTGCATTCCTCAGTTCTAATCTTTACCAACAAAGCAGAAGCCCCAAGGAATGCCAGATAAAATAAGCTGCCTTGGTTTAGGTTCCCTTTTTGTTTGGGGCCTATCCGGACAATTGTTTACCTTCCTTCTGCTTGATCAGTGATGTTTAGACCCGAGTGTATCTTTTTTGTGTTGTTTACTTGGTTTGATTCTGATGAGCATCCTGACAATTCATCAGAAAGGGAGTTAAGGCCTTTCGAATGTTCCCTGTTCCAGCATTTATCTGTGGTATAGATATAATGAGCCTGAAAGTCATGTGTATGCACTTTGACATGTATTTGGCTCTCGAACCTTCACCTCCTGATAGAAGATTAATGGGCTCTGACCCTTCATGTCAGGAACCCATCATTAAACCCCACGAGTGACCTGCTTTGAAGTCAATTCCCTCTCAGGCTGCGTCCTTCCTTCTTGGCCGGTCATCCCTGATTTCCTTTTGAGTCCTGTTTCTGCTTTTTTGCTTGTCTCCTTGTTCGTCCCTCTCTTTTCATCAATCATTTTGCTGTAATTCCTCCTCTGGTCAGATTCGGCCCTTTCACCCACCAACTTTCACTTTCTATCCCCTTATCTTATCTGTGTTATTTTCTTTCCCCTTCTCTGCTCTTCCTTAGCGTCCATCCTTCCCCAAGTACCCAAGTATCAAGTATTCTCCTCCCCCAATACTGTGTCCTCCTCAAAATCACTGGTTCTCAACCTGCCAGTGGCAGAAAGTCAGCACCCGGTGTTAACCTGGGTTCAGCAATCTTGGTACTTGAGTTCTGGCTAAGAGAAGAATTCAGAGCCAAGACTCCAACTATAAGAGGAAGTTTATTTAGGAAGTCACAGAGGTAGAAGTGAGCTCAGGAAACCACTTACAGCTTAGGAGAAAGAGAGAGACAAAGAACAGAGAAATTGCGCCTGTAGGGCAGAAGAGGGGGAAAGGTTCCAGCACGTGGGGAGGGGGGAGGAGGGAGGAGGTGTAGTGCATCCTGGGAAAGATGGGGGGTGGGGAAAGGCTCGGGCATGCCCCATAGAGAGAGCCTACCTGGGTCCCTATACCGGACTTTTATTTGGGGGCCTCAGGAGGGAATCAGCTTTCCAGGTGTGCCCTCCTCATGGTCTCCGCTAATTGGTGGGCGCCAGGGCTGGGGGTCATTGGCCATTGCAGCTGGTTCTGATGTCAGCCATGGCATCACTTGATCTGATTTTGCTGCAAGGGCTTGTAGTTTTGCCCCTTGCTAAGCACCTAGAGGTCTCCACCCTGGTGACCCTCTGCACATAGCCTATAGCTCCTGCTCTGCTCATGCCTGTCCAACTGCCTGCTACAAACTGGGGGACAATTTATCACCCCTAGAGATTTGGCAACGGCCGGAGACATTTTAGTTGTCACAAGTGGGGAGGTGGATGCTGCTGGCCTCTAGTGGGTAGAGGCCAGGGTGCTGCTCAGCCTCCTGTAGTGCACAGGGCAGCCCCCTCTCACAACAAAGAATTGTCAGGGTCAAGATGTCAAACGTGCCTGAGACTGAGAAATCCCACCCTAAGCAGACATCTGTCCATCTTTCAACTCGATTTTTACCTCCTGTTTCCAAATCCCAGTGCTTAATCCCTTCCCTCCCCAGGCCACCCTTTAGTTTATTTCCCATCTTCTCTCTCTTTTATTTTTTTAAATATATTTTTATTGATTTCAGAGAGGAAGGGAGAGGGAGAGATAGAAACATCAATGATGAGAATCATTGATCGGCTGCCTCCTGCATGCCCCCTACTGGGGATCGAGCCCACAACCCGGGCATGTGCCCTTAATCAGAATCGATCCTGGGACCCTTCAGTCCACAGGTAGACACTCTATCCACTGAGCCAAACCAGCTAGGGCTATTTCCCATCTTCTCTTTATCGCTTCCTCCTGGCCATGCATTCCTCTCCTTGGCTGCGTCTCCTTTATGCCTTTACATTTGGTCAGATCTCACCTCCTAGGACCTAGACCAGGGGTGGGCAAACTTTTTGACTCGAGGGCCACAATGGGTTCTTAAACTGGACCGGAGGGCCGGAACAAAAGCATGGATGGAGTGTTTGTGTGAACTAATATAAATTCAAAGTAAACATCATTACATAAAAGGGTACGGTCTTTTTTTTTTTAGTTTTATTCATTTCAAATGGGCCGAATCCGGCCCGCGGGCCGTAGTTTGCCCACGGCTGACCTAGACTCTTCCTCCTCCCACCTCTGTGTTCTCACCTTAGTTCAGCAGTTTCCTTATCTCTCAGCTGGAGGAACTGTGAAAATATTTTTCTTAGAATTTTGTTTATTTTCCAAGTCTTCACAAATCCAAGGCAGCTCTTAAGCTTCAGGTTTTAAATTCTCTCGAGCATGTCACATGTGCCCGAAGGTGCAGCCACATCACCATCTGCTCTGAGCATCCAGCTCCATCCAGCTAACCTCCTTCTGCTCACCCGCTGCTGGCCACACAGGCCACCCTGTCGTGTCTTCATGATGTTGATGGTTGTGTTGCTTGCATTGGTGTGGTGTGGTAGTACCGACTCATTTCCTGTTCTAAGAGAGGGGAGAAACACCTTCTCCTACCTTCATTCCTTCACTGAAAAAAAATCAAATGAGCATTTGCTGTACGGCAGGCAATACTGGGGATGGTAATAACAAAAGTAAACAAGAGAACAACTGTCTCCAGGAGCTCCGGCTCTAACGGGAGACAAGCAGGGCAAGTGCCCATACCCGGACTCAGTGCTGCGTGGTGTAAGTCTTTTATATTAGTTCCCTATGGCTGTTATAAGAAGTTAGCACAGCCTGGCCAGTGTGGCTCAGTGGTTGAGCATCGACCCATGAACCAAGAGGTCACCAGTTCTATTCCTGGTCACAGCCCATGCCCCGGTTGTGGACTCAATCCCCAGTAAGGGGCGTGCAGGAGGCAGCCGATCGATGTTTCTCTCTCATTGATGTTTCTATCCCTCTCCCTTCCTCTCTCTCTCTAAAATAAATAAAAACATTTAAAGAAGAAGAAGAAGAAGTTACCACAACATAGTGGCTTACAACAACACACATTATCACCTTGTAGTTCCGGAAGTGAGAAGTCCGAAGTCAGTCTCACTGGGGCTAACATCAAGGTGTCAGCTGGACTTTGTTCCTTTTGCAGGATCTGGAAGAAAGTTTTGATTGGATGCAGGAAGGAAAGAAACAACGAGCTTATTCTTTTTTTCTTTTTTATAAGACTCCAGTGGAGGCCCCGCCCTGGCAGCTCAATTGGTTAAGGTTGTGGTTTCATCCCCACATGCAAGAATAACCAATGAATGCATAGGTAAGTGGAACAACAAGTCGACATTAATCTCTCTCAAAATCAATAAATAAAAATTGAAATAAAATAAAACCAAAGACTCCAATGTACAGCTTATTGATTAAATGTTTGCAGGCCATGAAAGCTGAATGAATGTGTGAGGCTACAGCAAAGCAAGGACCAGGAATCAGAGGCTGCCAATCATCAGTTTCCTTCCTGGTATCTAACATCCCTCTTTTACAGATGAATGGATGGTGAAGTGCGGCCATCCAGTTGGACACAAGGTAGCTTAGTGGAACCATCACCAGAACCCAGGCCTGCCACCTCCTGTCTCCCTACTACCAGCACTAAAGCCCAGCATTTTGGAAAAGACCACTGTAACTGGAGATTCCTGTTTGACCCCAAAGCACAAAACACTGTAACTCTTTCAGGAGCTCCTATGCCGCTGTGACAGCTCCATGGCTGTGTATTTATTTATTTCTCACTCCTTACAAAAACACTATCAATGTTCAATCAAGTCTCAAAGGAAGGGGTCAGAAGGCAAGTGGTTTTAACTACCTATGCTTATCAGCCCCTTCCTACAAAAAATACTGTCTTTCTCTTAAGACCAAACTTGTTCTCCAAACCTGGAGCAATTACTAAGTCAAAGCCACTGAGCTGTGTTGCTACCAAAGGAAACTCGACCCTGTCGGCAGCACGAAGGCCTCACCTCTGGAAATCAAGATATTTACGAAAAGTGGGAAAGTTGCCCCCACTTGGGGATAGGACGTCTTCCCAATATTATGGAATCTGTAGCCAACAGTAACTATTTTGAGGCCGGCTCTATTTTTCTTCTGGCCTGACTTCCCTGAAATATAAGGGCAAGGTTAAGAAAACTTAGCGCAGCAGTTTAGGGGATTGAAGGAAAACAGGAAGATGTAGCCTAAGCCTTCAAAACACTATCATTCCTGGAGGGGCGACTTGGGTACCGAAAAGTCCCTGAAAAGGAAGAGATTCCCCCCGTCCCCGAGATCAAACTGAGCCCCAAACCCATTTGAAACTCCTTTCCCTGTGCATTCTCACCTTCTGTTTTCCCACGAGCAGGGCCTTTCTCTGTGGGTGTGTGGGTGTCCCTGAAAGGACCATAATCCTGTTTGTGATACCACTATCTGCTGCCAGGCTGGGGTGCTGGTGCCAGACTGAAGATTAGAGGCACATTCTTCACGGCTCTGTGCAAGTAATGTGCCTGTGGTGAGAACTCGGCCTCCCGGTGTCCCCATCACGGCTGAACTTGTGCCCCGTCATGCCCCAACAATTTTGACAATCCTTGATGGATCATTCACTCCCTCCCGAGGGCTGTCCCAAGTGATTTAGTGATGTGATGTCATCCAGTCCTTACAACAAGCCTGCCAGGTAAGTGTTATGATCTCCATTTTCTAGATGAGGACAACTGAGGCAGGCAATGCCAGGCACTCATCTAAGGTCACCTGGCCAGTAAGGGTGGGGCCTGTATGGTCTGGGAGAGCTCACGCTTAGCCATTGTACCACCAGGCTCTGGCTCTAGACAAAAAGACTATTTTGCACAAGGAGTCACTGCCTAGGCCACCCCTCTGCAGAAACCTCGTTTGGATCTGTCACTACTGTTTTCCTGACATGTCTGATCTCCACTGAGTCCTTGGAGACCTGAGTCACCAGGCAGCCTGGGCGTTGCCTGCAAACAAGGTCTGAGAGTCCCTTAAGGAAAGAGGAAGGGAATCCAGAGTTCATTCCCCACAGTGTCCTGTGGTGCCTTCTTGATACTCACGATTAATTAGCCCAACTGGGTGGCTCATGGCACCAAGGTTCATAAAACAGTTTTTGTGTGAGCCAGACAGCTGTGCTGGGCTCTGTGGCCACAGGCTGTGTGCGTAATTCCAGGCAGCCATCTGCAAATTCATGAAGAGTCAGGAGGGACCTTGGTGAGCACATAAAAATGGATGATTGCAAACATGACCACAACCAGAAAAGCTACTTCAAGCACGTCTGGGGACGAGGGACATGCATGTGAACAAAAGGACATGTTACTACATTATTGACAAGAAAACAATCACGGTCACTGGGGATTTGCCTAGAGCCTGAAGCCCAAGTTTAAGACTCAAGACAAGAAACCTTATACATCTTTGAATATTTTCTGTAGGCCTTATACATAACATATTCCTAACAATTGATTTCTGGATAAAGAAAAAAAAGATTTATTTAGTGCATGGTAGCATTCTTCATATAGGATGTACATATCCTATTTGTTAAATGATTCCACCATGGTCGGAAGAAAGTGATCAGAGTCAGTTGTGAAACGATTTGCTAAGTTTTTTTTATCATCATTATCATCATCATCATCATCATCTAGTGATAAAGTTCAGCTGCTCCAGGCATGAAACTGAAGCTAGTAGCCAGTGTCCAGATCAGCCTGTCTCACCCCAACCATATCCACGTCCTCCTCAGCTGACTGGAGGCTATAGGACAGGTTGACTACCTTGCTTGGTCCTCAGCTATTTGGTTTTCTGGTTCTTTTCCATCAATTCAGCTTCTGAGGATTTTCAGCTACAGCTGGCTTTCCTGAGGAAAAACAAGCAGCAGAGGAATGACTGGGTGTGTGGGTACCCTAAGATAAAGGACTTAACAGGACCTCAGAGAGAGAAATGGGCTGGGAAGCTCAATGGGAAACAGACACTGACCTCAGGGGCTGAGAGCTGGCTCCCCGGGTGGGCAGGAGGCTGCAGCAGAGGCACCTGGATATGAAGTCCTGGGCTCTGCAGCCAGTGTTAAGGATGCGACCTGGGATTAGGACCCCATTCCCCTCTCCATGAATCTGAGTCAATCCTCACAGCTCAATCAATTGTTATTATTTATGTAATGAACATATAGTGTAGGCTTCTAGACCTCTAGATGCCAGTTTTCCCTGAAGTTCTTCACTACGTAGCCACCTCACCAGACTCTACAAGTCTGGGGGAAGAAAAGGAAATAGAATGAAAATTTCATCAGAAGCTTTCCCTATTGGTACAGTTCTGCTAGGCGGCCCAATGGGAGAGGTTGGAAGGTGCGATTAATGAGGTATTGTGATTGTTGGAAGTGGCCTGGTCCCTGATGGGAGGTTACTGCAATCATGGTGAGGTCTGCCAGAGGCAAGGATGAGCAGACAGCACAGGGATGGGGTGGGGAGGAGACATCTGTGTGCTTCATACTCAATACACCCCCTTGTGGGCAATATCACTTCCTTGGGAAGCTATGGCCCCAGTTTTAAGGATAAAAGCTGCATAAACACTTTATGAGTATCAGAAGGGAACAGTGCCTTCCCCCATTCTCCATGGCCAACAAACCACTGAGACCACCTCTTGCATTCCCCATCAAGGGATGTTACCCCAAGTTTTCTAAAACCTCATGTAATCCATTCATGAAGTTAGCTGTTGGGTTCTTTTATTTGGGTTTACTTTGCCTTTTGGGGGACTATTTCAGTACATGAATGACATTTTAGAAACAAATCAGAGAGAAAAGGTGGTCCCCACAGCAGCTCACTGTTACAGAGTTAAATCTGACTTGAAAAGAGAAACACTCTGACTTCAAAACGCATGTTTTGGCACAAGTCACAGCTGGCCAAGGTTATTCCTACTTACTCATCTTCCTCCAGGCTCCCCAAGTGTTTTCCTGGAATATGCTTACGGCGAGGGGTGGGGGTGGGGTGTTATTTATAATCTCTCATAATCCTTGTTCTCATACTGAACACATCCAGGGGTTGCTTTCCACTGCAAGAATAGCAGCTCATGTGAGCTGGGAGGAATGCAAGGGAGGTACTTGGCTCTCCTGACACCTGCAGCCTGCTTCCAATTTAGAAGAGGCTTGGCCTCCTGGGAGGGCTAGGAAGCGATGGCCCCGCCCACAGACTTGTCTGAGCCCAAACTTCAGTGCATGCCTGACCTTCAGCAGGGACATCATGGTCAACCTATGACAATGGCAGTGACAAGGATGCTGGTTCTGATCAGATGCTGCTTGTTGCATCTTTGAGCCTTACATTTTCAGCTCACATAACTAAGGTGACACTTAAATCTATGATGAATTCTGGAATGAGCATTGACTGGAAACACAACCACAGGATGTCTTCTCTTTAGAGGAGGGGGAATAAACCAGACTTAGGAAGAGAACAGATGGTGGAATTGCCCCCATGGGTTCATATCTATGCTGTACCTTACTAGCTAGGGGTCATAGTCAAGCCACTTAACCTTTCTAGTGCTCAGTTTCCTTTTCTTTAAAATGGAGTTGATAAATCCCATTACGTAAGGTTACTGTGAGGTTAGATAATACATGAAAGTCCCGCACAGGAGAGAGTGCTGAGCATTCAAAGTGTGCTCAGTAAACATACTGCACACAATTTTCTGTGAGTGTGCACTTAGTGACTGGAGAAGTCCTAAGTAAGGATCTGAATTTTATCCAACACCCGGATCATAGGAGAGTCACTTAATTCGCTCTTTGTCTCAGATTTTCCTCCTTTAAACTGATATGCCTACCTCAACGATAGGGGCAATTAATGAAATAACATGTAGATAGTGCTGTACATTCTACTGAGAGGCATATTATTAACACAAAGTGTCCTTCTGCTATCCTTCATCAGTTCTAATGTAAAGAAAAATTATCTTAACCTTTGTAAGTCTCTTTGTTGAGCTTGTTCTAGGGGTATTTTATAAATTATTCTACTAGCAAGCTTATTTTACATACTACAGATTCTTCATACCACCACGGGTATTCTATAAGCACAGTTGGTTAAATAAAGCATGCACAATTTGGCTACAATGTCTGTGTATAATTAATTTATTACATGACAATCAATTCATCAATGAGCTTTGGGGTTTAAATGAGTGCTTTCTGAAATATCCGAGTGGCCAGTAATTACTTATCAAGAATGATGAGGAGAATGACGAGGAAAGCCACATTGCAATGCTGTCTTTGGTGACTCAGGACATTGCCAGTTAGCCTGTAGCTGGAGTGCATTGGGGCAGACTTTTCTAATCAAGGCTCATTCTGGGAAACATCTTCTCCTTTGGCTCTTGTGCAACTGAGATGGACTCAATCGCAAATCAGATGAAGAGCCAGGAAAATTTGTGCCTTCCAGCCAGATCACTCTATATCACACAGTACTGTTACTCTGGATCATATCACTCATATTGAAATTCAGAGAAATATGGGAAATTCCAAGAAAACAGTAGTTAATGCAGGAGGTTCCCTTACTAAGTTTGTGACCATGCTATGTAGAGATACTACACTCTCAGAATGCTCACATGATACTCTTGAAATTTGGAATTTAAATAGAATGTGGGTTGGTAAGTGACTAAAGGAGAACTTTCCATCACTCTATTAATTAAAGCCATCCCACAATTGTAGAAACATGTTTTTATTATTTATTCACTCTTTCCAGCTAAACAATAGGAGCAAATACTCACATGGGGAATTTCAGTTACTCAGGGCTTTAACTTTCCATTTCCTGGTGCCATGGATTGAGTTGTGTCCTTCAAAAAACTATGCTGAAGTCCTAACCCCAGGTCCTGAGACTGTGGCCTTATTTGGAGATAGGGTTTTTGCAGATGTGATTGGCTAAGAGGAAGTCATACTGGAGTAGGATGGGTCCTTAATGCAATATCTCTGATGCCCTTATAAAGTGGAGAAAAGTCATCCACGTGGAGATGGCCATGTTGACATGTCACAGAGACAGGAATTGTAGCGATGCATCCACAAGCCAAGAACTGCTGGAAAACACCAGAAACTAGAAGAGACAAGGAGGCTTCTCCCCTACAAGTTTCAGTAGGGACATGGCCCTGCTGACACCTTGAATTTGAACTTCTATTCCCCATAGCTGTGAGATAATACATTTCTGTTGTTTTAAGCCACCTAATTTGTGGTACTTTGTTAAGGCAGCACTAGGAAACTAACATACCTGGTTTGTACTTTTAATTCTATTGGATGTCTATTTTTAGTATATAAAGGATTAGTTAGGTTAAATATTCAAAAGTTAGTCCTTAAACCATTTGCATCTACTAACACTTCCAGCCTCATCAGTAAGTATTGCCACACCCTAAGTGGTCCAGCAGGGGGCTACACATCTG